ACACACACACACAACATATATATAATATATATATATATATATATATATACGTTATACATATACATATACATATACACATACACACACACACATATATATATATATATTCATACATACGTACATACATACATACATATATACGTACATACATACATACACACGTACGTATGCATAAATACATAAATACACACATAGGAATTTAAAATATAAACACTCACGTTGGAATACTCATCGCTGAGAGAAACGCCACGCTGACAGTGTTGTTTCTGTAGCACTTTCAATCTATCAGTCCATATGCGAAGCCTAGATTCGCATACTTCGTACGAGTCAACTGCAACACTCATGCTTGCCTGATCAACGCAGGCATCGTAATGGGTTAGTTGGTGTGGTGTAGATAGATGTGCCGATGACATACACGATTGAAGTCACATAGGCGGAAGATTGCTTTTTATGAGTGAGACCCTCGTGGTTGTAACCTTCATAACTTGATGTATGACGGAGCGTCTGCCTATGAGCTTACACAGTGCCGGCTGTTCACATAGCACTTTCTATTCCACTTGTATGCCAGGTGTGCTACAATACAAACCCATGTGTTCATCTGAACATGGTGGGATCTTTGTTTTTAGTGGTGCGGGCATGAGCTGGTTAACGGTCCAGAATCCGAGTGCACTATTTTTACATTCAAACAGGTTATAGAGTGTACAAATAACAAACAGTGTTACAGTTGAAAGCATACGGCATACAGCTCTGTCTACGTAGATTTCAGAAGTAGGAACGCTGAGCTTCACCTCACGACCGTCAAATGTCAATGTGTGATTTATATCATATGTCCACTCCGCAAGTCGAGTGCTTGAGTCGCCTTATAACGTATTCTTTAATTAACTGAATTTGTAAACATACTTCTTAATTCCTAATTCCTAATTCCTAATTCTATCACACACAAGAATCTTAATTTTCAAATTTCAAGTTTCACGTAATACGTATTTCTTACGTAAATTAAGGCAATTTCTCGCCTCATAATTAATTTAATAATGTGATGCTGGGTCAGGTCTACACGTCTTACGACCAACCTCTAAGAGCCCTGATAATCCTTTGGCCAACCGCTGGAGGCCCTGACAATCTGTGGGCCCCTGACTGACAAACTGTGACAGGGCGCCCAAGTCGACAAATAATTTGTTTCCAAAAATTGGTGCCGAGAGCCTACCAGGAGGACTGTGTATTTATAAAATATATTAATATCAGTCAAAAACTGCCGTGAGGACTGTGGAGAGGGGTTTGGAGTTGAAAAACTCGGGATGTGGGACTGTGCAAATTGTTTCAAACTCCCCCCCCCCCCCCCCCCAGAAATTTGTTTTAGAGCTCGCGATTGACTTGTGTGTGAGAAGTATGCGGAAAGCAGTCTTTGACTCTGTCTCCTCTTGGCTGAGGGGTGAGATGTGCGTCTGTGAGAGTTTGAATTTGCATGACAACTGAAAACGAAAGCGAATGAAATCCATAGTTTCTTTGCTAACGATATCAAATTCTTGTTTTTTTTGGGGGGTGAAATGATAGCCAATAGTATTGCTTATCTACACCAAAAGGAAGATTTATTTACCAGGCGGCTCGAATTTATACAAATAACCGTAGTCCGCGATATGTGAATTCCGCCCGTTATATTATTTAGCCTCTCAAATTAGGATTTAATAATACAAAAAGGCATAGCCACCTAAATTGAACATTCAGGATGCTATAAAACAGGAGCTACATTTCGAAATGCACGACTCTTCTTTACGTCCATTCGTGAACATCATGAAGTCGCCACTATCGGCGGTAGTTTTACTGACCGTTGCTGCAAACGCCATTGCACAACAGGAACCGGCCTACTTCTCACACAAGGGCAAGACCTTCGATGTAGATGGTTTTGATGCCAGTTCATACTCATACACAGGTTTCAATAAGTATGGAAAGGACAAGTATGGACGTTCTTACATTGAAGTTGAAAATGGTAGCGGTGCCGCGGTAGATGCAGGGGGCCGCAAGATGGCCACCACAGAAAAACCCGCTAGCACCGGCAATGTCGAACCCACCGAGTCCGGAGACTGGGAGAACTATTGGCCCAGTTTCGGAAACGGTAAAGATCGTGTTCACAAACAAGAAGGTATCATAAGAGCCGGCAATGGTAAAATTATTGACAAGGCCTGGTACCACATCTCGAACCGCCCAGCCCCTACTGTCACTGAAACTCAAACTCAATACGAGTTCACAGAGGTGTATATTACAAGCTCTGTGGCACCGACTGAAGACTTTTGGTGTGATGGAGGTTGGATCCAGATCACCAAAGAGGGAGATCTTATGGATGATGACTGGGCTGTTGCCTATATCACCGGATACTTGCAAGTGATCGGAGCCAACGTTGATGACGTAGACACATACGATTGGTGCGTAAATACCAAAGACGTAGATAATGCTGGCGCATGTGCTCGCCAGCAGGCAGCATCACACAGTCCTGCTGATATCGCTGCCGCTTTCACAGCTGCTACCGACGATCATACATCTCAAATTATTCTGTTCGTATGTGACCTTCCCTGTTTAGATTCCATCTGCCAGCTGACACAAGAGAACTACTCCAAGTTGACTCCACTGCGTCTTACCGAAATTGCTTTCACCAAAACATCTGGAAGTGCTCGCGACGTGAACACCACATGCTTAGATGGTGAGAGCGTGTACGCTCCGAGCAATGGCATAGGTAGCAAGACCATACGTTTCTGTCCTCAAGGACAGGTATGCAATACAGACAATGATGCTGGTCCTGTTCAGCCTGGAAACCCCTTCTGCGAGTGCCAGGCGTGCCCAGATATTCCTTTCTGCCTCTCACCTACTTGTGTTGTGGAGCAAACCGCTAGCGTCACTGATGCCCTGCCAGTCTGGATAAGCACACCCAGTTGTCTGCCCGTGAATAGTCAAGCAGCATGCCAATCCGGATACTACTACCACGCAGTGAGCGAAAAATGTACCATTTGCAACTCCTCGCCTAATTGCCGGTCAACTGTATGCACTGGCCCATCGAATGCCATGTGCCCCTTCGGTTCATGTCAAGGATCTTTCGTCAACACTGCAGCACCCGGAAAAGCTGGTACATGTTTCTGTAACGATCCCAACGGCTGCGGTAACCTGTGCTCTACTGACTACGTGTGCGAGCTGGAATTCGGACTCGAGTACAACCCTCTTCAGGCTGATACCGTGTGTGATCCAACTACGTTCGGCGATGTGGACAGTTGTACCAGCGGTGTTTGTTGCCAAGACGCTAC